TTTTTTTTTTTTCCCTATTTTGAGATATGATATGCCTGCTTAATTGACATAGTGGCAAAACTCAAGGTATTTGTATTACATTTAGAATGTATAAGGATGTTCTTTAAAATTTTTAGTATCTGAGTTAGGTATATCTTATACCAGGTCATGTATCGTTACATCTTGACTTACCAGTTTTGTTTGCAAAACTGTTTCTCAGATAAAATTGGTTTTAATTGTTAGAGTCACATTGGTGAAATTCTCTTTGTCGTGTTTTGTTTTGTTTTGTTTTGTTTTAATTATTTATTTTTGGCAGAGCCAGGGATCAAACTCAGGCCCTTGTGCTTGCCAGGGAAGAGCATATTCCACTGAGCCATCTCCCCAGCCCACTCCCTTTGCCTTTTAGAGGCACCGTTTTCACTGTATTTTTTCTTCTCCCCACGTATTGCTCATGACCCAATTTATAAAATACTTTCTACCAACCACCTGCCTTGTTACACACTTCTTTGAAAATATGTCTTTGAGGGTCAGCCAAATAGCTCAGCAGATTAAAGTGCCTGCCAACAGAAGCAGGGGCCAGGGGTTCAATCCCTGGGCCTGCCGTGCTGGCCATCTCCAGGGTGTGCTGAGATGGCGATTGAGACTGGGCGTGGTGGCACGCGCCTGTAATCCCAGTTCTTGGGAGGCTGAAAACAGGAGAATCACTATGAGTCCAATCTAGTAATGAGACCCTGTAGACCATTCCCTAAAAAAAAAAAAAAAAATACAAAAAAAAAAGAAGATACATTTTTCAATTACGTTGTCTTTCTGTCTGAATCTGTTCCTCTTATTTGAGTTGCACTACTGTTCTGTTTAGACTTGGTTTTGTCTCTTGGTCTTCCTCTTTTACTACTAGCATTTAGCTCTTGCTTTTCCTTCATCTCCTTTACCTAATTATTGATTTTTGCCATCCTCTCCTAGTGCTTAATATGCCATACTATGCATTGCTGAATTATCACTAAGTATTTTTATAACCTCTGATTTTGTTTACTTAATTATGTAAGATATTTAAAATGTATCCCTAAGACTTTTTGTACATAAAAATTTTTCATACAAATCAGTTTTACATACAAAACTAATTGCAACTTTTTTTAAAGGTAGATTCACAGTTAATATTCTCTTAAACATAACCTTAAAAAAGGATTCCCTCAACTTTTCATGCCATCATTTTATAAGGAGTGAGATATAACCAATTAATGTTGCCTAACCAAGTGAATTAGTAAATAACACTATATAACGAAGTATTTACTTTTTAAAAAGCAAAAACAAAAAAAGGTTATTTCAATGAACTGTTTTACTTTAGCCATTCAAACAAAAATACAGTGTCTGGTATGAATACATTTGTTTACTCTTTCCTTCTGTCTAAAGACAATATAGAGGAAATGAAGGACAGATGCGGGAGCTACAAGATCAGCTGGAAGCTGAACAGTATTTCTCGGTAAGTGAGAGTTATCTTTACCATTTAGAGAGTTTCAAAACCTGACCTGAAACAAAGTATTTAGATCTTTTTCTGTGACCTATGATTCTTTTTCAATGACTATGAAACAATGTTCTTCTTTTCATCTTCATGTCTACATTTCCTGTCTGATTCTGAGTACATGGTGTAAAATGTGAAGAAGTAACTTTATGCTTAAACAGTTGCAGAATTGCTATTGTATTAATTAAAATAGCAGATATTTTCTTGCCTCTTAACAAGCTCCAGTGGTATGTATAAATTACACTCCTGTATGGGGTGTGTGTGTGTGTGTGTGTGTGAGTGTGCACACAACTTTAAATTATAGGTACAACTGATGTTTAAGAGTTCTTTGTTTTAATTTTGTACTTTAGGTGAATTGTTTGGCTTTTTTTCATACACATCATTCTTAATCTTACTTTGCTGTAGGCCAAATTATTGTTTACTACTACTATAATTTAGAGCTAATATTGAAATCTCTGAATTTCAGGTTTTGGGGTGGATTGCCAAGCTTTCAACCTCAGTTTAACATTTATCATTTAACCTTACCACTTAACCAACACCTGCCCTGCTATCCTTATTTAGTGAGTTAAAAGTCCAGAGTTCAAAATACACTGGTGAATATACCCTAGAACCCAAGTGTGAATCTTTGAAGTAGCCATTTCTCTAGTTAAAAAACTGAGCTGATTTGCTAAAGCTGTATAGTTTTTGCATAGTGAAAGCTTTGTGTTATATCAATGTCACACCATTTATCCACTAATAAATATTATAAATTTCTTTTGTTCCCCCCACACACACTTGCTTTATTAGGCCATATTAGAGTATTTTTAAGTACCTTAAAAGAATAAAAAGAAATGGTAATATTGAAAAAACTTTTCCTCAATGCAGATTGACCTTAATTATTCAAGATGTGTATTGCTAACTTCTTTGAAGTGACCTATAGTATCCACTAGATACTATAGACACTTTCTGGTCTATATGTTCCACAGATAAGTTCATGTGGTTCTTCCAGACTTTTAAATGTATATAATGACTTAAATACTTGGTATGGATTCTTAGGGTCAGGGAGATAGCTCAGCGGCATAAAGCACCTGCCTGCCAGGTGCAGGGTCCTGAGTTTGATCCCTGTACTGCAAAAAAAAAAAAAAAAAAAAAAACAGCAGCACTTTACTGTGGATTCTTGATTTTTGTCTCTCTAAAATAATACAAAATATAACCCTTTTAGTTTCAATTTATTCTGTTGCTTGGATTCTATTAGGTTGCTGTTTAATAGTTATAAACTAGATTTAAAAAATTGATCTTTAACTTGACCTTTCAAATTAAGTTATTTTTTATCCCTTCATAAGTTAATTATAGAATTCTGCTATTTTGAGTTGGAAAGAAGAGATAAGAATCTGGTTCCTGAAGACAAAATGGATTGCATTTTTTAAAAATTTTAATTAGAGCTCACTTTGCCTTTATTTCCATTCCCATAGAAATTTATATATTTTCTTGAGTGCTGTTTCTTAGAAGTATAATTAAGCATTCAGTATACAGTAGTTCTCTAGCTACTTGCCGATCTTAACTTCCTATTCCTTTTTTCTCATCTTTTAAACTAAAAGGGATACTTTAATCATTTAGCTGTCCAATTATTTACAAGATGACCAAAGATTGTATATTTTTTGTTATTTACCTTTCTTTTTTCTTTTTCTTTACTTTTTTTTTTTTTTTTTTTTTTTTGGACTTTTTGAGTCAGGGTTTCACTAAGTAGCTTAGGCTCACCTTGAACTCACTTTATAACCCAGGCTGGCTTTGAACTGAAACTCACAGTGATCCTCCTCCTTCCTCAGCTTCCCAAGTGCTGAGATTACAGGCATGCACCCCCAAACCCAGCGCAGTCATTTCTGGATATCTGAATCATTTCCAGTTTGGAGTTATATGCATAACACCGTACTGAAAATTCACATGTAAAACTGTGGATTTAGATTTCTGTTGTCATGAGTGGAATTGTTAGATCACATGATACTTATTTAACTTTAAAATAGCCGCTGAACTGTTTCTAATTTTTTGCAGACACTTTATAAAACCCAAGTAAAGGAACTTAAAGAAGAACTTGAGGATAAAAGTAGAGAACATTTGAAAAAGATTCAGGAACTGCAGAACGAAAAGTATGTTATTCTGTTGTGCTTTCCCTGAGAGTCATCACTGCACAAGGTGGTCTTAACTGGGACTGGGTTGGGGGTACAGTATTCTGATGACTTACGGCCTAATTTCTTATTGGCTGATTGAAAGCAAATTAGACTAAGCTGAAATTTACTTGTAGAGTGAACAGATAACACAATAGCGTAATACCACAGAGATTCATCAAATTCTGATAATGCATTGTTTTCAGGAGCCACTTTAACCTTCAAATATTTATTTTTATATGAATCATTGTATATTCAGAAATCATTAAATTAAAGGTATTTTAAGATCTTCCTCTTAATATTACTATGTAGGTTATTTACCGTTAGTTATAACTTAGAAGATGAAAGCCTTGCTGGAATGTAGCTCAGTGGGGACAGTGCTTGTTTAGCATGCATAAGGACCTGGTTCAGTTCTTGAGCAGTGTAATCAGCCAACCAATAAACAGCAAATGTCACAGTGTAAGCCTAACAGCCTTGTTTCAAAATTGAGCTGAGGGGGGCCAGGAAGATAGCTCAGTAGAATAAACACTTGCCTGGCAAGCACAAGGGCCTGTGTTTAATCCCCAGTTCTAAGGGGGAAAAAATAAAGTCCTTAAAATTGAGCTGGGGGCTGGTGAGATAGCTCAGCAGTCTAAAGCTCCTGCTTAAGCAAACGTAGGCACAGGGGACCACAGTTTGATCCCTGGCACCACAATGCTACACCAGCCCCACCCTCAGGGTAGGGCTGAGCTGGCAAAAAAAGTAGTTAGTAAATAAATAAAATAGAGCAGAGAGGCCCCAAAAGACAGTATCTCTTTCAGCTGGGGGTCTGATAGCTAAATAGTGTCAGAATAAACACTAAACCTAGTTTTCTGGCATTATTAAAGTCTCTTTCATTCCCTTTGAAATAATTTTTTGTTTTTTTATTGTTATGTTTTTTTATTTACTTATTTGGTGCTGGTAATCAGACTGAGGATCTTGCAGGTACTTGTGCCACTATGCTATATCCCCAGCCCTTTGTTTTATTATTAAATAAACACACTAAATCCCAAACTTAGAAACAAGTTCCATTTCAAAAAGACATTTGTGTATCAGATTCCTTTATAAGTCAGACAGAGTGAGTCTTACACAACTTTGACACAAATACATAGTATGTGTTGCTTTGCGCTTCCTAGCAGCTCCCTCTACAGCACCAGTGATTTTCCTCCTGCTTCCAGACTCTCTGAGCATGTACTACTGTTCACTATGGCACTGCACAGTATGTACACAGCAGCACAACTGTGACAAGTGTCCATCAGACATGTGAGCTGCTCTCACAGTTTCTCATTTGTGGCCCATTCCTATCTGCCAGTTCACAACTCAAATGTTAGTAAGTCAGGGACTTACTGTATTAGAGAATAGCAGAACAATTTTTAATTATGTGACAAATAGCATACCTACCACCTGGAGAAGAATCCTCTGACCACCTCAGAAGCCCGCTGTGCACCATTAATTATGCCTCCTTCCCCAAGGAAGAGTGATCACTGTCCTGATGCTTGTTGATGAATGTAGATCTTTCGTCCTATAGAGTTAATCTTAGTTGTGATTTTGCTGATTTCATTTGCAGTTAGTTGAGCGTCCCCCTCCTTTCTACTTTCTGCAAACCAATTATTAAATCTGGAGCTACTCTGTCCAGTATGGTAGTCAGTAGCCACATGTAGTGATGTAAATTGATTTATATAACATGAAAAGTTCTTCAGATACATGGCTATTTTTCGGATGCACAATAGCCACATGTGTCAGTGTCTACCTTAATATATAGCATAGATGTGAAACATTTCTCTCATTTAAAAATATTTTATTAGATACCCTTTATTGGGATGGTGAATCAAAATTCAAATCTAATTTTTAGGAAAAAAGTCTAATACATATATAATTTTGTAAGCTTTGTTTGTCTGCCTGTTTACCTACCTACCTATTAATTCTTTGGTTTTTTGAGATATGGTCTTGTTACATAGTCCAGGCTGGCCTTGAGTTCACTGTAGCCTAGGCTGGCTTTGAATTTGAAGCAATCTTCCTGTCTTAGTCTCCCAAATAGTGGGATTACAGGCATGTACCACCCTACCTGGCTGTTTGGCTTTTTATTTGTATTGTTAACTACTGTTGACAATGTTTGATCCTTTGTACATTTGAGTGTTGTGAAGTGCAAATACTCCACTTTTATTCTTCATTTTTTGTTGAAATATATAACCATGAATGCACATGTGCAAGAGAGTGAACTTAGGGCCTTATGCATGCTAAGCTGTGCTGTACTCCTGAGCTGTAGGAAAATGTGAAGGGGAGCCCCTTTTAATGAGAGCATTAACATAAGCATATTTTAGTGATGCAGGGGAAGGAAATCGGGGGACAGTTGCACATCTATTCATTCTGAGTACTTCCTTCCTATGAGCTGCAGTATTTTCCATGTTTTGGAATATGGTAACACAAGCACAAAGCCACTTACTATAATCTTACAATCTAGGAAAATGTGGAATTATTGATAATTTGAGTCCTTTGAGATAGAAGAATGAGGGTGACCTTGAATATTAATAAGATGGGTCTTACACCATGCACAGTTGCAAAGGAAATCTGGGATGTATGTAGCTGCAGATAATTTTACCTGGAATCTTTGCATCCTCTTGCCCAAATTCACAACTAAAATGGAAATATATACTGCAATAAAAAAGTTTTGGGTATCTTAAAAATACAATTTAGATACTGTGTGAATTTGGTGTGAAGCAGTAACCTCATATGAGAGTGTCATGTATCTGAAGCTCTGTATTATATTGTTCATATAACATTGGCAGTGTTTCCTACCTTTTTTGATGTGTTAACTCTTCTTCTATAACTGCTATTTTGTATATTCTCTTCTTATTCCCATATTAAGCTAATAGCCTTGTTTTCTAGACATTAAAAAGAAACATCTGTTCTCTCCCACCACCTATCATCATATGTAGCTATAAACCCTGTGTTTCTTCTGATGATGTAAATGGACAGAAGGTTCTCTTACCTAATAAAACCAACCCCTTGATCCCATCCCTTTCTGCTTACTTAAGAATATGACTCCATAGGACTGGGGTGATAGCTCAGTAGAATAAGTGTTTGCCTGGCAAACGAAAGGGCCTGAGTTCAATCCCCCTGGTTCCAAAAAAAAAAAAAAAAAAAGACTCCAACAATTCTCTCATCTTTTCTGTATAAATTTTCCCTTTGATTTCCATTGTTATATAAACAATTGAATATTTCCTTTAAAAATAACTTTTAACTGCACATCTACTTCCAACTACCATGCCATTTTTGGTTTTCCTTTTATAGCAGTCTTACTTGAAAAATTACATACCAATGATCTTCAGTTCTCTTTTCCCACTCTCTTGAGTCTGCTCCAGTCTTTATTCATCACTCTTAACAACCCTTTTCATGGTCATTATTGTTTTCCTAATAAAGACAATAGTAAGATCTTTGGCCGTACCTTATATCCTTAATTTAATAGCAGCTTTTGACATAATCGATTACTCCGGACAGTCTTCGCTTCTTTTCTGTGACACTGCACAGTATTCCCCTTTAAATAAATTTATTACTCTTTCTCAACCTCCTCTGCCTTTTTTGTCCCTTCTCTGAGACCTCCAGAGTTTAGAGGGCCCAAGGGATCACTCTACTTGTTCTCATTCAGCCTCTGGCTTTAAATAGCATCAGCATACAAATACATTCTCCTCTGAATTCCAGACTTGTATCTCCAGCTGTCTATTTGACAATTAATAAGCATTCCCTATTTAATGTGTTCCCTCACAATCTAGACTCCCTCACTTTGCCAGTCTGCTTTTTTTTTGGTTTTTGTTTTATTGTTTGTTTTGTTTTGTTTCAATAATTAACAATTCTGTTATTTCCTGTGGTTTAAATAGAAAATTGAGTCATCCTAAACTCTCTTTACTTACAGTTTTTGTGCAGTCCATTAACATTCTCCCAGTTAGAGCTAAAAATAATATATAGAATCTATCACTATTAATATGGTGCAAACTACCATTATCTCTAGTTTTATTTCAGTAGTGTCCTCCCTTGGTGGTTTTGTTTTGAGACAGGGTTGCCATCATTATATAGTTCAAACTGACCTAAACTCAGTGTGTAGCCCATGCTGGCATAGGATTTGAGGGAATCTGCCTGCCTCAGCCTCACAAGTACTGGAATTAAAGGCATGTGCCACAACACCCTACTGTCTGTAACCTTTCTTTTTTTTTTTTTTTTTTTTAAATTTTATTTATTTATTTGTGTGTGTGTGTGTGGCCAGCTCAGCCCACCAGGGGGCGGGCTGGCTGGCATGTGGTGCTGGGGGATCGAACTGTGGTCCCTGGGTTTTTGCTAAAGCTTGTTCTAAGTAGGTGCTTTAGACCACTGAGCCATCTCACCAGCCCTGTCTGTAGCCTTTTAACAGCTAACTCTGCTCTGCTAGTGTGTCTTATTATCTGGTCCTAGTACTGTATAAGCAGCCAAGAAAGATCTTTTTAAAATTCTAGAGTAGAGAATAAAAGTCATGAGCCCATGTTTTGTTTTAGAAAACTGTACAATGTTTGTTGTTCTCTTCATTTCTTTTCCTACATCTCCCAACTTTTCTGCATTTCTCTGATCACATTAGCTTCCTTCAGGCTGGCTTAGGGTATTATTTATTTAATTTTCCCCTTTCTGGATAACCTCTATTACTTATTCTCTCACACCCTTTATATCTCTCCTTTGATGTTTCCTTAATGGAGAGGCCTCCTGATCACCCACTAATAAAATTATGACCACATTCACAGCCTTTTGTGTCTTTAATCTTTTATTCTCCATGGCATACTATGTATTATTTATTCATTTTTGAAGTTGTCTTATATGACTATACTAACATACTCTCCTTGGTATACTTCCAGGGACCAAGAATTCTGTGAGTGTTGTGTTCCATAATTCCTGGAACAATGATTGCCATAGAGTAAGCACTGAAATAAATAGTTGTTGGGTGAATGAGTGTTCTTCTTTTGTGAATACTCTTGTGTCTTCATCCTTAAGTTTAAGCCAGAAGATTTGATTTATAATCCTCCCTTACTAGAAAATAAGAGGTAGAAATCATGTGTTTTGGAAACATTTACTGAATATCTCTGGCATACAAGGAGAGTATGCTGATGGCCAAGCTAGCTTATCCTAGAGCAGGCAAACTGCAGGAAACTTGTCCTTATCTGACTGTCAGTTCTGAAGATTTTAAGTGTAATATTAAAGTGTAAGGCTGTTCCCAGATAGTTTACTTATATGTGGTTTCATAATGTCATTGAATTTCACAGCTAGATGGGACTTCACAAATTTACTTTAAACAGATTTGTTTAAATCACATACAGAAAGTATAAGAGCCTTGCCTAATAGTGTTTTGGTCCTGTTAGTGGTAGAGTTAACAGAATCAGGTCTGATCTCATGATTTACCAGCCAGTGTTTTCCAAAAGTAGACAGTTCAGCAGGTTATGTTTATAGCTTTTCTAGAAAGTTTGAAATGGATTTACTTTATTTAAAACAATAAAATCATTTCTTATCATTTAAAGATAATTTTTAAGCATGTGATTGAAGTTGGAAAAACGAACTATATTTACTAGATCCATTTCTCTTAAAAATTATTGCAGGGAAGCTCTTTCTACTCAGTTAGATCTAGCAGAAACAAAAGCTGAGTCTGAGCAATTGGCTCGAGGACTTCTGGAAGAACAGTATTTTGAATTGACCCAAGAAAGCAAGAAAGCTGCTTCAAGAAATAGACAAGAGATTACAGATAAGGATCACACTGTTAGTCGGGTAGGTAAATTATATGACTAAAGTTGACTTAAAATAGGTCACATTTTAAAATGTTAGAGGGTATGTATGCATGCATGATCATTATATACTTCTGTATTAAGTAGTTTAATCTAAAACCATTAATGATTGAAAATCTTATGTTAGGCTTTTATTTCTTTCTGCCTATAGAGCTTATATATAATATGAAGAAATGTTTGAGTTATGTTCATTTGATATTTTCTTACTATAGTGAAATTGATTTCATGAAATGAAATTCATTAAAATTCAGAGAAACTATTTTGGTATGGGAAATTTTCTGTAAATAGTTTTCATATTCCTGATACGCAACCAATAGAGCAAGCTAATTATCTATTGCTGCAGTTTATACTGTAGTCTAAATAGAATCTCAAGACTAGAAGTGGAAGTTAGATTTTCTTCTTTTGAAGTCATCATCAAGTGCTATAGTATGAGTAGCCCTGGGTTGGAATCCCATCTTTTCCTCTAAGAAATTATGTGATTTTTAGCTACTTTAATTTCTCAAAGTTTTGGATTCCTCATCAAGTAAAAATAATGCCCATTCCACATGATTGTTATGAGGATAAAATGAAAACCACATTATTGAATGGTCAATTAAATGCATAAGTAGAAGTAATCAATAAATATTTTCATCATTTAAATTAAGAAAGTGGCTGGGTGTGGTGACTCACAGCTTTAATCCCAGCCCTCGGGAGGCTGAGACAGGAGGTTCCTCTGTGAGTTTGAGGCCAGCTTGGACTACCGAGTGAGTTCAAAGCCAGCCTGAACTACATAGTGAGACCTTGTCTCAAAGAAAAGCTTAAAAGAAAAAAAATTAACAAAGCGAAGTCCAGAAGAATGCTAACTTGTCATGGCTCACATAGTAGTTTCATCATAGAACTGGAGATACACACACACACACACACACACACACACACGTACATACATACATACATACGTTAGAAGTTTTAGAAGCTAATAATTATTCTACCATATTTAGAGCTTAATTATATCTATACATGTTAAAAGTAGAAAACATGCACTTTCTATTATTAAGAAATGTCTAGTCTGCCTTCTTGGAAAAGGTTTTAGTTCTGTGAGAAAAGCAAAGAGGCTATAGCTTAATTTTTTGTGGCTTTGTTTAGCTTGAAGAAACAAACAGCATGCTAACCAAAGATAATGAATTATTAAGAAAAGAAAATGAAGAGCTGACCGATAAAATGAAAAAGGCAGAAGAAGGTATGTAGGAGGGTTTTTTTGTTTCTTTGTTTTTCAAGTGTTTTTAGGTCAAATCTCCTCATGTAGCCCAGGCTGGCTATCCTCAAACTCATACCCACCCTCTTGTCTCAGCCTCTCCAGTGCTGAGATTTTGGGCATGTGCCAACATACCTGGCAGTTGTAGGAGTTTTTAAAAATATTCATAGTGTTAAATTAAAATCAGTGATTGATGTTTAGGTATTTATGTTGTGTATTTGGTTTTAAAATACCTGTTTTCATATATTAAACAGTATATATGCACTTAATGAAATTATTGAAAGTTGCTAAACTGCAATGATTTCACTTTCAAATGCAAAAATTAATTTTATAGAGTAACATATAATTTGTTGGCAGAGTATAAATTGAAGAAGGAGGAAGAGATAAGTAATCTAAAGGCTACCTTTGAAAAGAATATCAATACAGAACGAACTCTTAAAACACAGGTATGTATACTTTCAGCCTTTTCCATTGATCTACATTTGAGTATCAAATATTAGGAAGTTAATAATTATTCTTTTTTAGGGGGTTCCCAGAATCAAGCTGAGGACCTCACACTTTCCATGCAGAATAATTGTTCTTTATGTACTTTTTCCTAAAACTGAAGTCATAAAGTTCAAGCCTTTCTTAATATATTTAGTACAGGGTCTCACTACATAGATCAGTCTCGTAGTGATCCTCCTGTTTTCAGCCTCCCAAGCACTAGGATTACAGGTATGCACCACCATGCCCAGTCTCAATCACTATCTCAGCATGCCCCAGGGGTAGGGCTGGTGGGGGTGGGGATTAAACCCTGGTCCCTACACTCTGCCTAAGCAGGTGCTTTAGTTTGCTGAGCTATCTGGCCAATCCTATTTTTTATTTTTTTAAGAGAATACAACATATTAAAATAATAATAATAAAATTAGAATCTACAGAATTTCACTAAAGGAAATAATAGGAATTCGACAATAGTTATTATATATTGCATAACACTCTCTTCAAGTTAGTTGTTTAGATTACCAGACATAAACATGCAAACTGATGAAAAAAAGTTATAAGAAATTAAAAAGGAAAAGAAAAAAAAATTAAGCATTAACTGCTTCTTTCACTAGACCAGCACAAATCAAGCTTTTCATTAAAACAAATAATACAGATTCTCTGCACTAAATATAGACTTACATTTTTAAGGAGGGGGTGGATTTCAGATAACGCTGGTTTGTTTAATAAGAATGTGATCTAAATTATATTGAAGATCTGTTGATGATAGGAAAATACAGTGAAGAGAGGACAAAAGAGATCTGGGAATAAATCAGAAACTATAGAAATAGATTATCATTTTGTTTTGTATTTTATGATGCACTTAGGTTACCTTTTTCCTATATCTTTTCTCTTTATTAAGTTCTCTAGTAATAAAACTTCTTCATTGTCTATTAAATTCTTTAGTTAGTTTTTATAGTAAAAATTTTTTCCTTGTAATTACGTGATTGTGGGGCCAGGAGATGGCTCATTGAAATAAACACTTCCTTGGCAAGTACAAGGGTCTGAGTTCAGTCCCTGGTTCCGCAAAAAAAAAAAAAAAAAAAAAAAATGCATATAATTACATGATTGTATAGTGTCCTTAAATCTTTCTCATCAGCCCTTCACGTTGCAATGTAATCTTTTGAAAATGTACTCAATAGATGTGAAAAGTTCTTCATTGGAGATTTTACTTATATCAAGACAGAAAGCATAACGGGAAAGACTGATATTTGTTACATCAAATTTCAAATGTCTGTACAACAAAACACTATAGGTTGAAAGAAAAAGAGTATTTAACAGGGCTGGAGAGATGGCTCAGTGGTCTAAAGCACCTACTTGGAACAAGCTTGGCAAAGCACAGGGACCGCGGTTCAATCCCCCAGCACCACATGCCAGCCAGCCCCGCCCCCTGGTGGGCTGAGCTGGCCACACACACACACACAATAAATTTTTAAAAAAATAAATAAATGTAAAAAATAAAATAAAAAAAAATAAAGTTTGTCCAATATTAACAATAAATAATTATTTAAAAAAGAGTATTTAACAGCATTTATTTTATAAATAAGTACAACAAAAACCCTAACCAAAAAGGGCAATTGAGACAAAAAATAGTATCCCAATAATAAACCAAGAAATAAAAATTAAAACAGTAATTAGGTATCATTTTGGAGATAGATTTTTTTTTTTTTTTTTTGCGGAACCGGGGATTGAACTCAGGCCCTTGCACTTGCCAGCGAAGCGGTTATTCCACTGAGCCATCTCCCCGGCCCCTGGAGATAGATTTAAGTGACACAAATAATTCAGGTTTGTCATCGCAGGAAAATTCATGCATGCACTATTTTAGGGAATAAACTGTGAGAAGAATTTAATTTTATGAACATATTTTGATGCATTACTACACAGTTTATCCTACATAAAGACTTACATAAATGCTTAAAAAAATACAGCCAGGCATGGTGATACATGCCTATAATCCCAGCACTCTAGGAAGCTGAGGCTGGGTGGGTTACAAGGTTTAGCCCAGTGCGGGCAACATAGTGACTTAGTAGGACCCTGTCTAAAACGTAAATAAATAAATAAATGGGCTGAGGATGTAGCTTAATGTAGAGGCCCAGGTTCAATCCTCAGTAAAAGAAAGAAAAGAGCAAAAGATGAGGGGACTTAAGATGTAACTGTGAGTGTAACTATAGCATAATTATTTTTGATAATGAAAAAATAAAAACACCTCATCAGTAAATCATGATACATACATATAATGGAATCCAAGGGAGCCTTTAAAAATAATGAAGTAAGCTGTTGTGTAATGATATGGGTAAGTATGTATATTCTCTGATATAGCATTTATTGACAGAAAGCATGTCGTACCACAGAATATTTGAAATATAATCAAAATAAACAGTGCACATTTAAGTTTTTAAAACCAGATTATTATGGTAAGAAACACAGTGCCATCTATTCTCCTCGGAATACTCCCCTTTGCTTCCATCATTGTGTTTAATTGAGTAAATTAAGTAAGGTTAAGTAAAAGACACACTGCTATCAACCCACCTCAAAATGCTTCTCCCCCTTTCAAACATATTTATTCCATCATTCTTGCTGCTCTCTAAAGCAGTTCTAGAAGTCATCTTTCCTGAGTGTCTTTAAGAGGTATGATCAAAACCTGGTGAATGCTGCTGTCGTGCAACAGAAAGGCGGGCTTATGGAAAATTGCAGCGTGCCCTCAGCTGACATATTCACCAGATCTGGCACTGTAACTTCTGGCTCTTCCCCGATGTCAAAATGACCATAGAAGATAAATGTTTTGAATTGATTCAAGACATTGAGACAGTCTCAACAGCTGAACCAAAGACACTCAAGAAAGACTTCCAGAACTGCTCCCGGCAGTGGCAAGAATGATGAAATAAATTTGTTTGAAAGGAGGAGAAGCATTTTGAGGTGGGTTGATAGCAGTGTGTCTTTTACTTAAACTTAATTTACTTAATTAAACACTTACCATATTTTTAATCCATTTAATGGAGCTAAGTTTAATCTATTCTTATGTCTGGGAAACCTAGAAGATAATAGACACCCACCAGAGGAAGCTGTAGCAAATATGTGTTTAAGGGTGTGGTATTACATTTTGTTTTGTTTTTACGTTCTCTATAATATTTGATGGAGGGGCAGACGTGTTAGACTTATTTTAAAAACCCATATATGGGCTGGTGAGATAGCACAGAGAACGAAAGCACCTGCTTAGGCAAGTTTAGGCAAGCAGAGGGATGGAAGTGGTTCAGTCCCCAGCACCGTGTATCATGCCAGCCCTACCCCCAGAGCAGGCTGAGCCAGCTAGAGTCCAGGCATAGTGGCACATGCCTGTAATCCCAGTGCATGGGAGGCTGAAAGCAGGAGGACCACCACGAGTCCAAGCTGCATAGTGAGACCCTGCAATAACCAAATACATTAAAAAACAAGACAAAACACATATGCATGTATTAGTTCTATAAAGTAAACTTGCCCTATATTAAAATTTCTTAAAGCATCCTCATCCTTAGTGAAACCCAATCTGTGTGAAAATAATGATGGTTAGGACTTTGTTCTGTCTTAATGGGGGAAAAACATATTTTATGTATAGATACACACATTGCTGCAAAACAAATATAGCATGACTTATGGTTTACAGTTTATGCAGTTAATCTTAAATATTTTTAGCATTCTGTCTCATTTTGAATGCAGTTTTTCCTTCTGGCAAAGGTAGCTGACCTTAACTGTATTTGCATGCCTTTTTACTTTCAAAAGGACCTCAGGATGACCTGCCTAGTCAGATGTGATGTCCCCTTGCTTTCCTCCTTGTCCAAAGGAAAAATGTGTGTCTCTTTAGCCTTTTTTGCCTGCATACTGTTCCTGTTTCTAATGCCATCCCTGGCTTCCCATCTTATCATTTTCCTTATTTCCTTTGCTTATACAACTCCTCTTTGTCTTTTAAGAAACACACACACACTGATAACTATAGGAAGAATGTACTGACTTCTCAAAACTTCAGCTGGGCACTGTTCCCATGGTACTCTTGTGTGTCTCTTAGCACTCTGTTCTCTGTTTTCTCTACCAGACTAAAATGGCTTTGGGAGATGACTGTTTTCTTTCTTTGTATCTAGTACCAAATAGAGTTCCTATACCATAACAGGTGCAAAGTAGTTGTTGAAAAGAGTTTTTGCAAGCCTATCTGGTTCTCCCATTGGAATAGAGAAGTAAGTCAGTGTTAGGGTTTTTTTTTTTTTTTTGGGGGGGGAGGGCGTTGGTACTGTTTTTGTGTTACTGAGGATCAAACCCAATGCATTCTGCCACTGTGCTGTTTCCAGCTCTACTACTACTACTACTACTAGTTACTGGTGTTACCAATTATGTATCCCAACATTTCATACCCACAAAGAAACCCTGCTTACAGATTTTGAAAGAGAAAAATACATATTTGTGGAGATTTAAACTAAGACAAGCTGTAAGGTCTTACTAAAAACGTTTCGTATTTAAATAGGCTGTTAACAAGTTGGCAGAAATAATGAATCGCAAAGATTTTAAAATTGATAGAAAGAAAGCTAATACACAAGATTTGAGAAAGAAAGAAAAGGAAAATCGAAAGCTACAACTGGAACTGAACCAAGAAAGAGAGAAATTCAACCAGATGGTAGTGAAACATCAAAAGGAGCTGAATGAAATGCAAGCGGTAAGTTGTGTGTGCACACTGAGGCCTGTAGGATCATTGTCGTAAATTGTTATTACTGTTTGTACTGATCTCTGTGTATTGTTTGCAAAGGCTTTGCTGGCATAAAAAAAAATCTCATTGTAATTCATAGCCTCATAATTTGATTTTTTCTCTGCTAGGAGCATTAATCTTGAACCCCAGAAAGTCACCCTGCTGCCCATTGGTTATAACGTCTGTGTTACCATTGAGCAGCTGCTTTAAGACAGTCAGGAGTTTGTTGTTGTTGTTGTTGTTTTTCAGACTGAAAATGTAATGTGGCCTTTACAGTGCTTCTCGCAGTGGTAGGCTTCAGGCTCGGACCTCATCTGTGCTAGACAAGCACTGTTCTAACCTCGTCAGTTGTGATATGTTCTGTAGTTGGGGGAGAGGTTCTCCAGTCAAGTCTTTTTCTGAAAACTACCAACCTTAATTTTTTATTTTCCTGTTATGTTAATAACACAAAATTGTGAACATGTTCTCTTGTATAAAATAAACCTAGATCCGATTTTTGACTCTATGGTTCTACCATCCTAAGATGTTAACTTTTAAACTAATTCATTTAGTGCCAAAGCATATTTCCTGATTGAGATTTTTTAATGCTTCATATTTAAAAAAAAAAAAAAAAAGCCTCCTAAATGCAAGGGGAAAAAGAGCTTAGAACTTATGCTAGCATCACATTACTGTGAAAGAGCTTACACTTCGATGTTGCCTTGCACTCTTGGGCCAGGCATAGTAGCATGTGACTGTGTCGCCAGCTACCTGAGAGGCTGAGACCGAGGGCCACTTGAGCCCAGGGATTTGAGGCCAACCTGAGCAACATTATGAGATCCTGACTTCCTCCAGAAAAATAAAATCCCATTGTGTAATCATACATATCTTAGAGTTTTCCATGATGGGCACTTAGATTAGTTATGCTTAAACAATTTCTTAATGTTAGAAATTCTTTGATCTTGATTACTGATATTATCTTGATATTTTTCAAAAATAGCAATTGGTAGAAGAATGTACACATAGGAATGAGCTTCAAATGCAGTTGGCTAGCAAAGAGAGTGATATTGAACAATTGCGTGCTAAACTTTTGGACCTTTCGGATTCTACTAGTGTTGCTAGTTTTCCTAGTGCTGATGAAACCGATGGAAACCTTCCAGGTAAGAATAATTGTGTTCTGTTATTTAAGTTTGCTTAAATGTCCTGGAATTTTTTTTTTTTAATTTGGTTTTTTCCCACTTTGTCATTCTGTCCATGGATCTTTGAGGAGGAATTGTTTCTGAGAGCCGAGATGTGTAATGGTTATATACTAGGCACATTTTGTTGAGTAAAAATTAACATAGTCAATCAACATTTTCTAGAGCAAAAATAGTCATAAGCCATCTTAGACAATCAGGGGTTTTGTCTGATTAACATGGACCTGAGCAGTTCTACCTGAATGAAACTTGAAGGGTACTTTTTTGAGCAGCCTGCCTCAGGGTGACAGTTAAAGCTGCTTTGTGCTTTCACTATTTAAAGAAAATCGTACACACATACCTGACATACCACACATCTTAGGGGTCTGGAACATTTGCCTTACATAGTAATAAACTGAACAGATTTTGATCAGCATATTTCAGACTGGCACCTGATATTTATACAGAAACATAAATTATTGCAGGGATTCTTTTTTTTTTTTTTTTAGGGATTTTATTTTTTAAAAAAATACTGCTTTTTTAATGTGATATAGGCTATCTGAATGATTACTTAGAAAATTTTATAGTGTTTCTTGATCAAGAAAGCGAGATTCAAATGGGAAGTGAGTTCAACTCCTCCCTGCATACCTTGTGATCCTGTCCCACGTTCTTCAGAAGCTTTGCTAGTCCTTAAGAGTCAGGTGTCGAGAGGAAAAACAGAAAGGAGATTTCCTGTTCTAGTGGTCAGAGAGTCTGTGATTTTCAGCTTGGGACCCTCTGAAACCACCCACCTCTTGAGAAACTTGTGGGCATAGGGCACTGTAGGAGGGTGAGTTTGGCTTTAACAAAACCTGTAGCTTCTCTATTTGGAGTAGCCTTCTACAGGTAGATTTAACCAACAAGAATGTGACTTAGAAGCTCTTAGCTTCATTGCTTAATTTTCTAACTGAAGTTGTAGTTCATTTGCTATTTGTTAACTTAGATGCTTCTAGACTACAGGAATTCTTAACTCGACTTAGTGTTAGGTAAAATCTTAACCAGCGCCTTTTTTTAAAATCTTACTTATTTCTTTTTAACATTATAGTGGCCTCCTCCTTTTAAGATCTCACTATGAGTCCAATCTAGTAGTGAGACCCTGAACAGTCTATAGACCCTTCCCTAAAATACAAAAAAAAAAAAAAAAAAAGAATTATTTTATAGGGTTCCTCTACCTCTTAAGCAATGTGTGATATATCCAGGTTAACTTTAATAGTCTTTACAGGTTAACTTTATTGTGAACAGTGGCTATATTGGATATTATTTACATATAATTAGGCACTGTAGGTCTTAGTTGGATTAAGGAATAGGTTGGCAGTGTTAAAATAATACCTAATTTTTTGTAAGTTAAAATTCCTTTACAAATATATAAAATCTAGAGCCAAGGTGTTTATATACTTCTGTAGCAAATTGTTGATGGTAATGTAGGCTTTGAAGTTCTCAGTGTTTATTTTATAAATTATCTGGAAAAGCTAATTTCTGCATTTTTTAATGTAAAACATGAAATTTACAGCATTTTACTTTCAATTGCCACTTAGTTCGCAACTAGTCCTGGTTTTGGAGGTTATCTTCATATATAAACACTAGTAGGTATATTAGCTGGCATCTAAAACAGGAGTGTGGGAAGGAAATGGAGAAGCTAGTATGTATGTTTCATTTGTTATCACTGAGTGTAATTTAGTTCCTAATCCAAACCTACAAATTACAGCTACAAACTATGAATATTTGGGGCATTTATTTTTATAGAAAAATAATTGAAAGAGTTGGGATATTTTGGAATGTACAGTTTTGTTTAAATTCAAATTCTCAAGGGCTTTTATTTTCACTGAGGAATTACTGGTATTAACCTTAACTATTTGCAGCTATTAGGACCAATTTTTATTCTAAGTCATGTTCATATTAGTGTTTATCAATCTATACTTTAAAAGCGTAATTTTTGTCATGTTGACAGGAAAATTCCTAATATCTTCTTTTTTATAAGATATTTATGAATGATCAACATATGATCAGTCTTCTATGTATTATTTAATATAAAACTGCCTCTTTGGTTTTTAAATTATAACTGTGATTTACAGATGACTTTAATGCACTGACTCAGAAAAAATACAGAATAGCAAGTAATTGATAAGTATTTACCCAGCACGTTTTCTGGTGTCAGATGCCAAAGGAACTACCTAAGAAAATAAAATCATTATTGATGAACTAAATAATAGCAATCAAGAAAAAAGAAAACTTATTTTGAAACTTTTTATCATTTTATTTGTTCATGTTTAACCAGCTACAATTTGTATAAAGGGAAATGGGACAAACAAGTTTGGAGACATTAAGTACATGGTGGAAGTAGGAACAAAGAAGCATTAGCTAAATTCAGTGAATTGCAAAATTCATTTGGGGACAGACTAATATTGTGCTCCAAAAACAAGTTTGAATCCTGGAACTGTTACAGATAGAGGGTAGCCTTCGACAAGGCAATTCACCTTGTGAAGCCTTAATCTCTTCATCTATAAAAACAGCATGATAACAAAACCTGTTCTGTAATCATAAGAATATAATATCCTAGACTCATGGGTCTATATACAAAGGTTAAACATGAGGTACTGGCTGTGAGGTACACAGCAATTGATAAGATGTTTGGTGATGTTGGTGACAGTATATATTCCCAGAGGACCATGATTTGAGCTGTAGTATGATTGGTCACATTATAGCATCATGCTTTAAAATGCTTCCCTATTATATTTTAGACTTAATATTCTATACTTAAAAAACTTAATTTGGGCTTTCTTATCTATAGCTTGATATAGGCATTTCTAATGGGATTATCTTTACCCCCCCCAGTATTTCTAATAAACATTATATTTAATGTAGCAATGAGTATCAGAAAGGTCTTAATCAAAAAAGTGAAGAAATTTATGGTATACACAATGGTTTAACTATTAGCAATTAATGGACTGAATTTTATGTCCTTTTTCCTATTCATTAAATTATAATATTGCAAACTTCAAAGCTTTTACCTGTTTTTAATTTTGAGAGGAATTATAATTGGACTTACTTGTAGGACTAACTTTCGCTCCAACCAAATTTGGACAATTTTATTGAAATTGTTGTGTTTTACAAAAAAAAAAAAAGAGAGAGAAAGAGAATACTGTACTGAGAAAACAAATAAAATGCTTGTCTCTTATTCTTTATATCTAGTTGGTTCTGCCTGCATTCCTTATTTATTTATCTTCTATTCTTGTCTTCTGTGAGTAATAGGGTACTTCTATACTTTGCTTGCTCTTCTTGTGTAAATCATGGCTCTGATTTGTTCCACTTGCTGCATACTTCTCTTTTTTTTTTTTTTTTTGCTAAATTTTTTATATGAATGTTAAATGATATCTAAATGTTTCTATACCATGTCCTATTTAAGCTGCAATCCATTCCAGTCTTGCCTGGCTCTTAAAGACATTGTTACTTCATACTTTTGTAATTGGGTACTAAATGTTACTTCATGAGAAGAGTGGCTTTGTATTTTTTTTCTGCAATATTTGTATGGCCATTGAAATTGATTTGTGTGATTGAAGCATGGAAGAGCAAATTATAGCATTTATTCATTTAGCTGTTTTATTTGCTTGTTGCTGCATGCTCTCAAATTACCTGTAACAGTTTTTCCTTTGGTTAGAATTTAAGACTGACATCTATATGTTCTTCTTTTTATAGAGTCAAGAATAGAAGGTTGGCTGTCTGTACCAAATAGAGGAAATATCAAAAGATATGGCTGGAAGAAACAGGTATTGTGTACCTAATAGTTTTCTAAAGTTTTATTATATATTTTGCTTTGCAGGATGGAACTTGTATTAACAACTCTATTACTAATGTTTTTTGATTAATATGTAATTCTAGACATAAACATGACAAGTATGCTTAATACTGTAAACCAAATGTTCCTTTTGTAATGTTTTTTTCTCATTTCAGTATGTTGTAGTAAGCAGTAAAAAAATTTTGTTCTATAATGATGAACAAGACAAGGAACAATCCAATCCATCTATGGTGTTAGACATAGAGTAAGTTGCCTTTTATTGATTTTTAAATCAACTGAATGTTAACTTGTGATTAGTGTTATTTTGCATTTTGTATTATTTAACATTACCTAGTTTTCATAACAAACTTGGAAGTCTTTACCAAAATGTGAGAAGGAAAATTTTACATACCTGGTTCATGTACTTGATAATCAAATGTTATATTTTAAATTTTTAGTGATTTCGGGTTCAAAGAGTATCTCAAAAAGTATAGGATCTTTGATCATAATTGAGAAGAAATAAAAATATATCTATTCTTTAGTAATGTGTCAAAGAAGCCTAGTAAGACGTTTTCTCCTTTCTAGAGTGATGCCCTGTATTATCATAGGTGCTGTAGTATGTGTAAAGGTTCCTAAGTTCCATATTTAAGAAGGTTAAAGTCAAGTAATAACAAAGTCAACAAACACAAAGTGAAGTGAAGCAAGTGATTTTCAAAAGAAGTTAGAAATTTAATTGCCTGGCAAGCACAGGGTCCTCAGTTTGATCCTTGGTACTACAAAAAAATAAAAAGAATAAATAAATAAGAAGTAGAAATTTAATTGAAGTATTACCATTCCTTTGCAATTAATATTTGTAGAGTTGATTATGGTTAGAATGTTAACAAAATTGAATAGGTCCTAGAAAATTCTGCTGTTTTATGTCCCATTTTTTTAAACATTAGATATAAGTGAAAAGTTTAAACTAACACAACATTAATATGAAAGACATCTTTCAACTAAATGAAAAACAGTATTTTTTTTTTTACATGGATGAAAGAAGATTTATCTGTTAGGATTTTTTGTATTAAGGTGTGATTTTATATAAAGTCCATAGCTCTTAGGTGTTGAATTCAGTGAAATATTGCAATTGTAAACCCTCATGTAATTGTCACTCAATACAAGATATAGAACATTTCCATTACCTAATCTGTTTTTTATCACTGAGATAAGTTTTGCCTATTTTAGAACTTCATACAAGTTAATTATATGGACACTTTTGTGCCCGGCATATGTTACTCAGCCTAGTGAAATTTCAATTTTTGAAATTGACCTTTGGCATTGAATGTGTGGGTAGAGGTTGATGGTTGTTTGATTGTTGTTTTGTTTTGTTTTGTTTTGGGGGTTTGGTTATTTTGTGATTGTATTGTTTGTTGTTGATTTGTTTGCTCAGGCTTGGTTCAAACTTGTTACATCCTGCCTCAGCCCCCCAAAGTGCTGGGCTGACAGGCAAGCCTACCACACCTATGTTCTTTTCTTTTGCTGAGTAAGATTCCTCTGAATATTTCAGTTTGTGCATTCTTCTGTTGATGGGCAACCATAGAAACTTTGCTTCAAGTTTGGGGTTATTATAAATGAAATTGCTGTATATATTCTTTTTGTTGATTTAAATTTTCACTTCTCATGAGTAAAATACCTAGAAGAATAATCTTGGGTTATGGAATGGATCTGTATTTAATCTTTTAAAAATATACCAAGTAGTTTTCAAAAATGACTATACTATTTTATAGTATAGCACTATATGCATTTAAATTGCTTCCTGTCTACTGCATATGCAGTGCCTCTTGTTATAATTTGCATTTTCCTATGACAGATAAAGTTAAATATCTTCTCACATGTTCATTCTTTCTCTCTTTGAGAGTGAACAATACTGTATAACAACTGTGTACATAGTATTTACATTGCTTTAGGTATTACAGATAACCTAGAAGTAATTAACCTGTAGCATATGGGAGGATATGCATAAGTTATTTTCCAGGTACTACACCATTTTATGAACAGACTTAAGCATTTTGAATTTGTGATTTACTGTGGGGTCTGAGAACCAATTCCCCGAGGATACCAGGGGACAGCTTTTAAACCATGACATGACGATAACTAGTTTGCTTAACTCTTTATTTGGGTTGTTTCCAGGTTTGGGCTACTTTATTATGAGTAAAGTTACTATGAAAATTTACATGCAGGTTTTTGAATAGATGTCAATCTTCATTTCCCAGAATAAAGCCAGAAAAGTATAATTGCTGGATCATATAGTAAGTTTATATTTAGTTTTGTGAAAAATTACCATGTTCTCTTCCAGAGTGAATCTGCAGTTTTACATTTCCTCCAGTATTATTGTATGAGCAATCCAGCCTCTGCTTTGTCACCACCATTTGGTGTTTTCACTACCTTAGTTTTTAAAAATTCTTACAGATTTGCAGTGATATTATTGTCGGGTGTTTTTTGTTTTGTTTTGAGACAGGGTCTTACTGTGTGGTTCAGGCTGACTTTGAACTCACTGTGTAACCCAGCCTGGCCTGAAACGGTGATCCTCCTGCCTCAGCCTCCCAAGTGCTTGGATTATAGGTGTGCACCATCGTGCTTGGTTCTCATCACAGTTTTTACACTTCCCTAAGGACTAAAGATGTTGAACATTTTTAAATGTGGTTATTTATAGCTTATGTGTCTTCTTCAATGACATGATTATCTTTTGTTATAGATAAGTTTTTATAGTGGCTTACATGATATTTATTATTATTTTAGTAAACTGTTTCATGTTCGACCTGTAACCCAAGGAGATGTATACAGAGCTGAAACTGAAGAAATTCCTAAAATATTCCAGGTAAAAATTGAAATTATAATTTCAAAGGCCTTTTTACCTAAGCACTAAGTGTTTTTGTAAATCAAATTAAAAATCTGCCAATTTTTTAATGCATTTTGAACTTTTTTCTTAGATTAAAATCTTTTTATCTTCTTTTCACCATTTCTGGATGTAGATACTATATGCAAATGAAGGTGAATGTAGAAAAGACATAGAGATGGAACCAGTACAACAAGCTGAAAAAACTAATTTCCAAAATCACAAAGGCCATGAGTTCATCCCTACACTCTACCACTTTCCTGCCAACTGTGAGGCCTGTGCCAAACCTCTGTGGCATGTTTTCAAGCCACCCCCTGCCCTAGAGTGTCGAAGATGCCATGTTAAATGCCACCGAGATCACTTAGACAAGAAAGAGGACTTAATCTCCCCATGTAAAGGTAAGGCATAGCAATTATTTTTTACAACCTATTACTAATTTTGTTCCAAGTTCTAGTGAAATAACTTCATTTGTAGCAATTTCGATAGCAAGTGGAAGAGGTGAGTTATAATAAGTCATAATTTGGCTGTGATGGAACAACACGCAAGTTTTCACAGCTGCAGGATTAGGTAGCTCTTAAAGAAGAGGAGGGCCAGGATTATAGCTTAGTGGCACAAGAACCTGCCTGGCCAAGTGCAAGGTCCTGAGCAATTCCTAATACTGAAATAGAAAAAAAGTAAAAATAAAGAATGGGCTGGGTGTGGTGGCACATGCCTATAATACCAGCACTCAGGAGGCTGAGACAGGATAGTTGAGCATTTGAGACTAACCTTGGCTACAAAGTGAGCTCAAAACCAGCCTGAATGACATAGCGAGACTCTGTCTCAAAAAGACAAAAAAAAAAAAAAAAAAGACAAGACCCTCCACCATCTTGGGTGCCCCTGGGATAAAGCCAATGGGTGCTCTACCACTGAGCTCTTTCCCTGCCCCTTTTATTATTTTCGAGAGGAGGCTCAGAGATACTTTACGTGCATTCGTTTTGTCACTCTCCCTCATAGAGTGCTCGAATTACAGGTGTGCATCACTGCACCAAACAAATTATCCCCTTTAAGAAAACCCTTGCCAACTAGGCATGATAGCACACATCTGTAATCCCAGCATTGGGGTGGCTGAGGCAGAAGGGTCACTATGAGTCTGAGACCAGCTTGGGCTACAGAATGAGTTGTATGCCAGTCTGAACTGCACAGTGAGACCCTGTCTCAAAAAGACAAATACAAACAAAAACCCTTGCCACTAAGAAATTATTCTAAGAGCAAAGATGGTAGGTGAGTTCTCATATATTCCTCCAAAATTTTCCCTCTTGCTTATTTTGTTTCTATTTCTTTCTCTGCTGAGATCAGCATGCTGTATCACACAATGTCTAATAGAAGTTACTTAAAGTAAAATAATATAAACTGTGACTATTTTGAGATAAGAACTTGAGTTCTATAAATAATTTTGTTTCATTTCATTTTTATTTTGTATTTTTGCTTTATTGGTTTTGATTTATTTTTAATTAAAGTGAAAGAGATAAGGTTCATGGATAAATAAACTTAGTAAATCTTTTAAAGATGTAAGAACTTAAAGAAATAAACATTTGGTAAGTTTGAGGTTTTTTACTATTACATGGCTTTAATTGTGCTTTTTTTTTTAATGTAGTAAGTTATGATGTAACATCAGCAAGAGATATGCTGCTATTAGCATGTTCTCAGGATGAACAAAAAAAATGGGTAACTCATTTAGTAAAGAAGATCCCCAAAAATCCACCATCTAGTTTTGTTCGTGCCTCTCCTCGAACTCTTTCTACAAGATCCACTGCAAATCAGTCTTTCCGGAAAGTGGTAAAAAATACATCTGGAAAAACTAGGTAAGGTTTGAATTGGTAACTTTCTTAACAGTGTAAAACTGATTAGATGATACTTACTAAAATCAGAAATCTAATTCTTTGCCCCATATTGGAAATCATTTGTAGCTGATTTTCATGGATAACTTGCAGTTGCTTTATATATTATTATAACATTTCTGCTAGATATTAATATATATAAATGTAACATAAATTTCATGTTAAATTTTATTATCACAGGTTGTTACACATACCGTATGTTTAGCCCTCAATATTGTAACCAACTGGGGTTGGCAAGATAGCTCAGCAGTCTAAAGCGCCTACTTAGGCAAGCTTAGGCAAAGTACAGGGAGCTGGCACCTCATGCTGTGCCAGCCCCATCTCTAGGGTGGGCTGAGCCAGCCACAAAAAAATAAAATAAACTATTGTAACCAACTAGCAGTTGGTTTTAAAATTCAAGTAAGTTCATGTAAAACTTTTCTAATATTTAATTACATTAGCATAACTTTTAGAAATTGGAGATTATTTTATATTATCGATACAAACTTTTCAGGTATGTTCCCCTCTTATTTTTGGTAGATTTTTCTTGAAAAATATATTACAGGCCAAGAGAAACAGTTTTGGGATTTATGTTCTGTCTGGAGGGGAAAGTAGTATCTCTTTAAGTCCTTATTTTACATATGAATAAAGCATTGAGAAGCTTTATAATTCTAAAATATGTTTTACTTCCAGCTCTCCCTCTAGTGTAACCCCTGCATTAAAGTCTAGATTGGAGGACAAAGGAGATGGCTCAGTGGAATAAGCACTTCCCTGGCAAGCGCAAGGGCTGAGTTCAATCCCCAGTTCTGGAAAAAAAAAAAAAAAAAAAATCTAGATTGGAATCCAGAAGCTGAGACTTAACATTGGTAAAGTCACCCATGTATTTGAATAGGCTCAAAGCCTCTTAGACTTTAATTCATCTCTTCTCTTCACTGTTGGAAAGTGAAGACAAAAGATGTTGGAAACCATGTGTGATTCTTTGAAACGACTCAGCATTTCCTTCTTGTATATTCATACTATTCCAGTTCATGTCATCACTTTTGACTTAATTCTGTAGAATGCTGAATCATCCACCTGGACATAGGAGTTATGCAGACCTAAAATGATTTATTTATTTTTTATTAATTTTATTGAGAAAGAGCAATGAGACAGTTTCAAAACAGGTTAGTAGGACAGTTACAATAATTAATACACTACATATTGTCTTTGTAGTAGTTATTCATAGTACAAGATGCAGATATGATATCCTGTCTAAACACTATTAGTACAAATCTTCTCATTGAATTAAGAGAAAGTAGGTATATATATCCTATTTTGTATATACAGATAAGTATATATATATATGTGTATATATATATATATATATTTCACTACAAAATGGTCTTTCATCTATATCCCCCTTTTTTGTTTAGTTTTGTCAGAGATGTATATTCCATTGCCATTTAAATATCGTAGGTGCGTGAATTCAGCAAAATAATCCAATATAGTCCAGTAGTCCATAATAGTAGTGGGTTATCCGTAGGACTGGTAATGTCAGAAGTTGTTGACTTAAGCCTTTTACAGCTCAGCATATTAATATGGCTATACTTTTTATACCTCATTTTTATACTTTTCTCCTGGATGATTAAGACCAAATACCTGTTCCATGTTATGTCTAAGATGTTTGATATTCAGATATATACTGAGGTTAAGCTCAACTGCCTATGTTATAGGGTAATATTATTAAGCTTCTCTTCTGGAGGGTTAACGACTTAAGTCTGCAGACTAAAATGATTTCAAATAGGATTATAACTGGATAAGAAAATATATTTTAGGAGTAGAACCAAAAAGGAGTAATTTCACTGGTTTCTAAATTTTTTTATAATTATAAATGATAGAAAAATGTTTCCCGGCCTGGAGGAGAAATGGTTTGGCAATCTGTGTGTCTGCCACACACTGAGCGGGCCACCAAAACTATGTGTGGTGGTACACATCTGTAATCCCAGCACTGGGGAGGCTGAGACAGGAGGATCACTATGGGTAGTGAGACCAAATAAATAAATAAATAAATAAATTGCCCTCTCTTGCACACACGTGTGCATGTGGGCGTATTGTATGTATGTGCTCTGGAAATCAAATGCAGAGCCTTGCTCGTGCTAGGCAAGGACTCTGCCCCTAAGCTATACCTTTAATCCTCTCTCCAGCTTGTTTCTTGTATTGTTAAACTGAGTGCATCTGTTAAAGTACGTTGTTTTTTTCCCTCTTTCCCCCAACAGTTAACCAAGTGACCTACTGCCTTGGAATTGTGTGGGATGCTACCTGATCAACCAGGCTTCCTTAACCATGCAGAGCAGGCAGGCTGTTTCTTTGACACAAATATCACAGGCTTCAGGGTTAAGATTGCTGTTATTCTGTCCTTGCTTTGGCACAAAAGCACACTGAGAGTTTTTTTTAATTGCAGGTTTGCCTAAAGGTAGATTAGATTAATTATTACTGTGTAATGCAAGTACAATTGAGGGAAAGCTTAGCTAGATATATTTTTCTAAAAGGTGCTGCCTTTTTGAATGTCTAAGAAAATGCCTGTCAGTCATAATGGAACAGTTTTCCTCATGTGAATGAGAGGAAGGAATTTTCACTTTCAAGTGGAATGAACATCACTGTCAAGATCAGCTCATGGAAGGAGTAAAGAAAATATCTCAAAATGAGACAAACTGAAGTTTTGGGTTTTTTAAGTAACTTTTTTTGTGCTCTTGCAAGATTACACAAAACTATCTTAAGCAGTGAAATCACTTGAACTTCAGTGCTCTCACTGTACAATTTAAAAAGCCTTACTGTTGTTTACCCATGGTGGACTTGATGGAGAAATTAAATATATTATGCTTCACAAAATACTGTATATGTCTCAGCAGATTTGTAGATTGGGGAATGGGAGAAGACAAGAAAAATTACATTTAATCTATGCAGTTTTGCCAAGCCATATTATTTTACTACTAGAGATGTTAGGAACTAACTGTACAAAAGAACCAAGTTTAAAAACATTTTGTGGGGTACATCATTTCTGTAATTGTATAATGTATTTCTTTGTGGTTTTTAAGTGATAAAGACATTAAGTTAACAAACATATAAGAAATGTATGCACTGTTTGAAATGTAAATTATTCTTAGAACACTTTCAGTGGGAGTTGCATTGCCCTTTTAGTGCCTTAATTTGAGAGAATTATTTTACTGCCATGACTAAGTATAGAAATTGTGAAAAGGGTTTTCAAAAAAAATTATGTGTGTCAGTGGGTTTCTTCATTCATAATTGGTTTAATTTAAAATATTTAGAGGTTTGTTGGACTTTCATAAATTGAGTACAATCTTTTCATCAAACTACCTGCTACAATAATGACTTCATAAAACTCTCTGAAAAATTATACAAGATTGCACCAATATAAAGTCTGTCAGAACATCCATGATGTTTTCCAGTTAATATAGGAATAACCAGATAAATACTGTTAAACCCTTGTTCAGTAACAAGAGTTTATTTATATGGGCAGTATGATTTATTGTTTATTTTTTTAACCAAATACCTCCTCAGTAATTTATAATGGCTTTGCAGTAATGTGTATCAAATAAGAAGCACTGGAAAACTGATTGTCTCTAGGATGATATGCATGTTTCAAGTGGTATTGAAAGCCGCACTGATGGATATGTAATAATAAACATATCTGTTATTAATATGCTAATGACTCTGCTCATTTAATGAGAAATAAAATAATTTATGGATGGATACTTTTAAGAGTGACTGCTATGGTGTTTTCTAATGGCTAAAATGAATAGAAAGCATACTTCAAATTATTCCTGTTTATGGTTCTTAAATTCCACAGCTAGATTAAAGTATATCTTTAAAAAATGAGTCTTGCTTTGGGCTTTTGAACAAGAATGGCAAGCCGGGAAGGTGGTGCATACCTGCAGTCCCAGCACTTAGGACACTGACGCAGGAGGATCACAGTGAGTTTGAGCCTTGTCTCGACTACGTAGTTTGCAACAGCAAGCAGAAACACTGAAACGACATGCAGAGTTTAGAGGCAAATTTATTTATGTAGATGGGCACTGATTGGAATCATTCCCAGAATGTCAGGCCCTGATCTCTGGTGGTCTAGGGCTTAGGTGGGATAAGCAACAAGGACGCATAGAGGCAGACTGGCTTGTCATTCGGGCAGTGGTTCTTAACAGTGTGCATCGCAGTGACCAGCTGTTTCTGGGAAACAGAAGCAACCAGAACTGCAACAAGAACCATTAGCTGGGAACTAAGAAACTGAAGAACACTGGCTGGGGGCAGGGGTTACTCTCTGTTACAAGTTCAAGGCCCACCTGCACTACAAAGTGAGATCCTGTCTCCAAAAAAACAAGAGTGCTTATAGTTCAACTGAAAAGTTAACGTCTGTTGGGAGACAGTTCTTCATGGGTCTATTGAATCTCTGCATGCATTTTTTTTTTTTTTTTTTTTTTTTTTTTGGAGACAGCATCTCCCTATCTCAGGCTAGCCTTAAGATTTAAATTCTTATGATGCATCAAGATACTATTTTTTAAAAAGGGCTACTTTTTATATCATTAGAAATTATGTACAATACTTCTTCCCCTCATTCAAGGGGAATACATGTCTTAGCAACTGTGACAGTTACATTTTACATTTTCACTTAAAGGTAGCACTTTATGCTCTTTCTTTGGCATGTTTGAATTTCCAGCAGTGCTACTGTTGTACTTTGAGGTTATCATTAAATAAAATAAGGGCTATTTGAACACAAGCACTGTGATACCACAGTCTTGTGCCCAAGATGCCTGCCAAATGACTAAGATGCCAGTGGTGTGTGTATAAGCTGACCCACAAGTTCTTCGTGCTACTCAGAACACCATATGATTGAATACTTAAGAATAGTCTATTTCTGAGATTTTTATGGAGCACAATTGATTATGGATAATGGAAACTGCGGAAAGCGGCACTTTAGAGAGCTCATGTGATAACCAAATTTAATGTTCATAAGTTACTTGCCTCTTAATTGCAGATTTGAGTTTTCAGGTTTATTTTGTGTTGTCTAGTACTTCTAAAATGCTCTCTGCTCAGAATGAAAATACCAAATTATTGGCTAGTAAATATTAAAAAAAAAGTTGTGAATGATATGTGCGTAGCCCTTTTTTTCTTTTAATAGTATCTTGATGCATCATAAGAATTTTAAATTTTAATGGTCCTTTTGGGTTACAAAGTGAGTTCAAGGCCAGCCTGAACTGCACTGGGAGACCATGTCTTAAAACGACAAAAAAATAATGATCTTATTTTTTTAAGAATTTCCTTGGGGGCTGGGGAGATGGCTCAGTGGTCTAAAGCACCTACTTAGAACAAGCTTAGCAAAGCATCAGGGACCGCGGTTCAG